TTGTTGAGTAAGATATCAAAGGAGCTATGAAGCAAATGTAAGGCTTTCCATAACTTGTAACAACAAGCATTAGGAAGAAAATACAAATTAATAAAAGAAATTTTTGAAAATCAATTTGCGCCATAGTTTCGTCTAAAGCAGTTGTAAACTACAATAGTACTGATGACTTGGTAAGAAAGTGCGCCTTTTATACGTAACGTTAAAATCGATTAAAAGTTTTCATTCTCCTTTTTCTTTGCTCTAGAACGGGAGAGAAAATCTGTGCAAAAATTTGAAGAAAATAAAAACTTTTTTATTACCTTTGTAGACGCTTCCAACAATTCTAAAATATGTGAAAAAGAATTCATTTCTTTGAAGAAGTTTTCTCAGTTTCCCGCTTATAATTAACTTAGACACTACCTAAGCATTGAAAATGAATTTGTTATGCCAGTCATTATTCCTATATATTGTTTATCAGTGAAAATAATTTGAAAAAAAAGTTTCAATGAAAATTATTCTTCAAAATTGCAATGTCAACGCAGGGCTGTAATTCTCGCATGAGATATATAAAATTCCAAATAAGTATTTTTTCATATAATTTAAGCTGATTTTAAAAATGTCACAAACTTTTGAAGAGTGTGCTTTTCAGTCAATGCAAAAAGAATCTTCTGTCTTAGCAAAAAACAAACGGTTACAAAAAGGGCCAAAAGTGTCAGAAATAAAAAATAGATGAAGGCCATAGATACCTTGCACACTTTGTAGAGCACCGCCAACAATTCAGACTTATCTGTGATATATTGTATTAATCGTTTAGAAAAGGCTTACAAATATTGGTTGAGAACATTGTTTGGTTTGAGAGAACTTTCCTATATTCATATATCGGAAACTAAATGGAATTGCTCTACATGCACTCTTACCGAATCTATTTTACATGCATACGGCCTTAAAACTGGATTCTGTAGTTCACCACACTTGATCTCTGCGACTCACAGAACAAGAATCAATGGTAAACCAATATTGAAAGAAAAATTTACTCAATATTTTCGGTCAATCTATGGTAAGTTGCAGGATGCTGAGGATTTTGAAAATGATATACCTGCATATTTCAAATTCCTAATTATGTTAGCATTTCACGTATTCCTTGACGAGAAGGTGGATGTGGTTATTTTAGAAGGGGGTATTGGTGGTTTGGTTGTACTAATATCGTTCCGAATACCAAGACGGTAGGAATAACTTCACTCGACTTGGGGCACACAAATTGTTTGGGTAAAACATTGAAAGAATTTGCTGGACAAAACGCAGGTATTATAAAACCAGAGCCGGCAGGATATACTTCCCGATTTTGAATCATATTTTTGAAATGAAAAATATCTTAAGCTGAAAGAATCGCTTAATAATGTGAGCTTATTAAATGGCTCTGTGGCCACACAATTACCTCTTAATTGCAGCTTGCTCTGAGGGCTTGGTGATAAACCGGTTTGAGGATGTTGATATTAGATTTGCAGCTGTTGCCATAAATTATCAGAGCAAAGTCAATCTTGCTTAACACAAGCATTTTGGTAAGATAAGCAATAGTGTTAATGTGCGCAGGGCTTTTCCAAGCAACCTTGTTAAAATAGAGTGTTTTAACCGAGCACAGTGTGCTTCCCAACGAAATTTCTTGGAAAACTCGAGCCCGAGAATAAGGAGCGTCTGCATGTTTAATACTGGTAAGTCATTAATATGCATCGCATATCTGTTTTCGACAAATGTGCATTTTTTTGATATTTGTATAGAAATATTAGCCTCTGCATTCGATTTTACCCTATTTTCAAAAATAAAAAGAATATTCTCTTT